GGAAGGGGAGGGGGGAGGGGACGGGGGGGGGGGGGGGGAGGTCACATCTTTCATCAGAACTTGAGCAGGTGGGATAAGGTCACAGTCAGCAGGAGGCAGGCGGAGCAGCGGCGGAGGACGGGCGTCCCGTTCACGTCGTGCATCGCGCCCGGACCTGCGGAAGAAACGGGACGTTATTCCATGTCCGCCTGCACGTTTATTTGATATTATTATTTTGAGTGTGTTTGCTTTTTTGAACAACACAAAGTGACTCCTGCACTGCTTTTTTACATTCTTTACCTTTGCTTTATGCTGGAAGTTTTTGGGTTTTTTTTAATGCATGATGAACTAGTATATTATAAATTGGGAAAAAAAGAAAACTAAAACAATGTAGGACTAGGTTCCAAAAATATATATTCTAAAAATTCACAAAAGTTGTTTTTTTTTTTTAAACATTCCTAACATTCAGTGGATGATGATAGCTCTCAGATTTGACTCCACATTGAGTTGATCTGATTTACGGATGATTTGTTAACTCTAGACTCCGCGTACGGACGGTGGCGTTTTGCAAACCCGAATGAGATTTGAGGATTTCTCAAACATGCATGGAAGAATGAAGGCAACACTCCAGGTGATTATTTATTTATTTATTTATTTATTTATTTTTTTTTATGAAGGAATCACAAATCAAAATCTCTGATTTTACTGTTTGACTAAAACTTTATTTTCCCTCCTTCTGCCTCTGAAACTGCAGGGTTTGTTATGTAACAACATGCAGAAATCACTCGGTGCTTCGTGTCCATTTCACCCTTTAAAAGGGAGATTAAATAAACATATTTAAAATAAAATGTTTAAATAAACATGCTTGTTTCGTACTAGTAGGTAGCAATGGCGTGTTGGGTTTTGCGGAAGGTTTCATGAAAATAAGGAGCTTTGCAGGCTGCGTACAGGTGTCAGCTGGGAATTTTTCACAAATCTAAATATACCCCTTTTTTAATATGAACATGTAGACATTTTTCAGACTTTGTTTGGCTTAAGAGAATAAAATATATTCAATTATTTTTATTTCATGTTTTTATTTGGCCCAGTCTTCAGCCTCCCTATCCTCTCTGAGACCTAAAATTGCCCTTTTCCTTCCAGCAATGTTGGATAACAATGCGGTAAAGAAGACAAACATGCAGTGAATTCCATAAAGAACCAAGACCTTCTACAACAATGTGAATTTTTAGGACTTTTTAAAGCATTTCTACACTCACCATAAAGAATTATGCTGGCGTTAGTGATTCCCATGGTGTTCATGGCGACACAGGTGTAGTTTCCATAGTCTTCTTCTGACACGTTGAAGAAGATGAGCAGCGACTGTTTTCCTTGGGTCTCTATCTTCAGACCGTTTATTCCATTGAGGAGCCTGCAAAATAAAGACAATCTATCAAACTGCACAACGGTTAGAGTTCAGACAATAATCTATGCTTTGCAGTTCACCCTCGGCCTGTTGGCTCAGATGGTTCATCACATTGGTAACACATAAAATCAGCTTGAAATAGAAACAGATTTGAAGAAATACACAATTCTTATTCTGCATCAATCATTTCTACAGTTGTTTGCAATATTTCTATATGTCATTTTCATAACAACAGAGGTCTACTTTCAGTTTTAGAAGTCAACAGTTTACGTGCCATATAAATTAATGGAATTTATCAAAATGCTGTAATTTTGCACCTATTAGCCGAACAGCATTAATTCTGACAGAACCAAACGCGCTAAAACATCAAATGTTCTGATACAACCAAGGATAGTTTACCAGGTTAAATGGCTTTCAGAAATGAATTTTCTAATCTCTGACAAGTTCGTCATTTTGAATGAAACATGTACATAGCAAAAACCAATAACAGCTGCTTTTTTGTTTCTTTTTTTTTTCACAAAAGATGATAAATTAGCAAATCTTTTTTCATATAATATGAGTAAACATTTTATTAATTCTCAGATCCAAATGTCATGCAATGCAAAATGACCGTATCCTGTGTAAAAACCAATGGCGATGCGGGGGGGGGGGGACGACTAAGTGTTGTTCTTTTCAAAGCCGTTCTCACAGACGCAGGAAGCACAGAAGGTAAACTCGCCTGCGGTCTTCTTTGTACCACTCAAAATCTGCCCTGGGAACGGCAGAGGCTTCGCACTGCAGAACCCCTCTTTGTCCCACCGGAGTGCCTGTACTCCTCGCCTTCGAAATGAAGGGAGGGTCTAAAAATGAAGCGGAGACAAAAAACAAATATCAAAACCAAACCACGGCGACAGAGTAAGGAGTGAACACATTTAAAAAATAATAATATATATTAGTTCTACACCCCTCCTGTTTCAGTTTTCCAAATTGTGACATGAAGAAATGTGAAAGTCTTACTATAAACTCAACTCTGACTGGTTGGTGGTGACTTAGACTTATTTTATTGTCATTGCACAAAGAAAGGGAAGTGGAATTGGCAAAGAAATGTCATTGTAATTATTCATGTTCATGTTTTACAGTTTTTTTTTTTTTTTTTTCCCATGGCAACTAAAGGAAATTAATGGTACTAATGAATTATCGCATTTTATTCATTCAGCACTTTAATGCAGAGTTGAGAATGAACCTTAGGCAATAAGTGATAACGTAGGAAGAGGACAAATAGAATCAGGAAGTCTGTAGAGACAGGAAACAATAAGATTAGCAGCAGCATCTCTGAAGATGACGTTTTAGATTTAAGCCAAAACGAAAAACACACACATACGTCACACTGAAGGGTAGATTTTCTATTAACCTGCAGTTGAAGTTCCTTATATGAAACCACTGCAGCTTCGTCTGGACTCCACACAAAAAGACTCCAGCTTAGAGAGAACCGCTGATCTTTATTTTCTACTGCTCCACTTTTCAGACACCGTATCTAACCGAAACCGAGACAAACCTTCCAATAACACACAAAGTACGCATAATTTTATAACTCAGAACAAAGTCCCACTTGTTTGAAATGGACGAATGCTTCCCTCATGAATAAAGACTTTCATTTAATGAAGCCATGTATAATTTATCATTCCAATTAATGATAAAAATTCAAAAAAAAAGGAAATGGTGGTTGGTTTTTATGTTATTTACTTTAGAATCAGACACAAGAAAGAAAGAAAAAAAAAATCTTTCTTTCCAGACTTTCAGCCTTGAGCTCAGATCAAAACTAATAATAACAAAAGAAAAACGTTCTCAAACATAGAGTTTAACTTTAATTATTAATTGGTTAGGTTTATGTGACGTGGACGTTCCTTTGTTCGTATTGTTAGCATTAGCTTTTTAAAGCAGCCGCGATCCATCTCACTCCATCAATGCATTAATTATCCATCAGCAGTGGAAAGTTACACCAAGCAGAATCCTCTCCAAGTCCAACGTCTGACGGATTTATTTTCCTCTTTAGACGACACTCCAAGATTCCCACCTGCTGATGCGAATGGGATAATTCTGCATGTGTCAAACGGGTGTCACAGTTCCACCTTGGAGAAATGTTGTTTTTTTTTTTTCACCAAAACATCTGATTTTGTGGAAACATCCCTGGATAATCTTCTCAGAAATTATGAAATGAAAAAAAAAAAAATGGCTTTTTTTTTTTTTTTTTTATCAGAGAATTTTAGCAAGGTCACCTCAAACCAGAAAACTATTCCATCCTGCCTGATTGAATATTTACTGTTTTAATTATGTCTGAATTGTCTTCATCGCCATGCCAACTAATGTTAGGTGGCAACATAAAGGATATGTAGCTTGCTTCACAATAAGGAACAATTTTTAAATTTGAATTCTGTTTTAACTTCAGGCATTTTTACGGTCACAGTTTGACTTTTCTCATTGAATAAATTGCTTTAAAAACAAAAAAAAAAAACATAAACTCACCTAGAAAATAGCCAAGGATGTTGCTCATGATGAGTTGAATAAGACATTTGTGTCATTTGCTAATTAAAAAAAATAGTGGAATTATTGCAAAAGTATTTCATAAAACAAATATACAACAGTAAAACTGGATAAGGGTGCTGACTATGAAGTGATGATTTTTTTTTTCATTGAATATTTGATTCTAGAAAAACTAATTTTTAACATTTTATGTAAAGCATGTAGGATAACATGGATAATCGGATGTGCAAGCCGTACTTGGATGCACCATCAGACTGTTCAGACGCTTCATATCGTCACAAAACAAAGAAGGAAATGCGTCTCGAGGCGGGGAATTTGACAGAATTAATGTGTGGTCTCAGCAAATCCATGTTTTCACATGGAAACACTTCAGTCAACAATCAATTTAATGTTAAAATTAAACTTTTTCCAGTGATCTGTTTGCCCGATTTCTGCCTTCTCCTGAGCCTAAAACGTAACGTTGTTAAAACGAAGCCTTTTTTTTAAAAATGTATTTATTTAATTCAGAATATAAATAAACACTTTTCTGTTTTTAGATTTTGATTGTCAGTGGATCTGAAAGACCAAATAATACTTTGAGTTTAAAGCTATCAAAAGCTTCTGTTTTCCTTTATAATTGAAGAACATACCATGTTCTGTTTACGGTCCATTCTATTGAATTTCATATGACACTGAATTGAAGCATTTTTCACAAGAGTTTTTTTTATTTATTTATTTTTTTAAACACATAAAGACGCTTAGTGATGTTGCAGATAACCTTACCTTGATATTCAAAACAACTCGCCACTGCCCTTGAAACAGGCTTTGCAGAAACCTGTTCCCAGTTTGTGTTGGTGAATGTACATGTTGGTTCCCCGTTGTTAAGCCTTGCACTTGAAACTGCCTCTGCATGTATTGATGTGTGGATGTTCCCGGACCAGGTTACCAAGTGGAGGTTATATAATAAACCACCTCTTAAGTCGCTTTAGTTAAATGTATTCAGCCACACAAAAAGTCGAGCAGGTCGACGCACATCGACGGTGCCATAAATCACTGTAATTTTTCCCCTGAAGTAGTTTACACAAATATCTGGTCCATCCAAAGCACCGGCGCTTTTAGAAGCATGTGTGATATCACAGCATTAAGCTGACTGAATAAAACATAGACGCACATATCGCTACATTCTGGCTACTGCTGCACTGACTCTGAAGTTCTTCTTCCGCTGTTGCACTGAATCGCAACTTGCGGAAGAAAAACTGAAATTGAAAATTGAAATGTATTTCTTTTAAATCAGAACTGTAGATGCATAATTAAACTCTCTTTATATTAAACAAATAATATTAAGAAGTAGATAATTATTTGCGTAAGCATGGACTTCCTGTTTTGCTCCCCTTTTTGCAAGGAAACGATGTGCAGCCAAAGCAGCTCCAAACATCCTGAACCCCCCAAAGTCGTTTGAAAGTCAAGAGCCATTTCCGTCCTGACCATGAAGGCGTCAGCCTGGTGCTTACAGTTGACTGTGACTTGGACTCTCCTGATGTCAGAGCTGGAGATGTCGTTTGAGGCGATGCACTCGTATGTTCCTGACTGCTCTTTGGTGATCGAGATCAGCTCCAAATGTTCCCCCTCCGTCACAAATTTATGGCCACCTGCACAGAGCAGAGGAAAACGAGAAACGTGGGGATTTAGTCTTATGGCAAAACTCACTGGTTTCAATGGAGAACGCGTTACCTTAAACAAAGTGTTACATATTATTTACATTGGCAATATTTGATATTATATTAGTCAAATATGTAAAGACTAACAAAAAAAAAAAACAAAAAAAACCTGAAGGCAACCATGTTTTCTGAGGTTTCTCTTCGGTCCAGACAGTTTGGTTCACATATCGTCATGGCGACACCTGTTTTATTTTTCCAGTGTTGTTGAATTAAATCAAATGTATGTTTCTGATCTTTTGCTGTTTAATAAATTAAAAGGAAGTTGTTTTATGCTTGGCCAGACCCTTCTGTAGACACATAGACTTATTTCACTGACACGACAAAGAGTTTGGCAACAAAATGTCACCGGCTACTGGAGAGCAAAGAAAAAAATACTGAAAAGATGGAAGTGTGCCTTTAAACAGGTATGTATATATATATATATATATATATATGTATGTATACTTTTGATCTTTGGTGCTGCTGCACTTGCATCACACAGTGACAAATTTGGTCAAGATTGTGAGAGTGAGGAAGCTGCAGAGTTTGATGTTTCCCTACATGTCAGACGTCCTCAGGGCCCGACCTGCTAAAGGTCTGGGTGTATAAAAACAGACACAAACTTGATATCAAGCGCAAACCTGATCTACAAACAACACGCATGCAAACGGGATTGAGTAGCAAAACGAGGAGAATCACAGGTGCAATAAATTTAGCAATGCGTAGGTTTAGAGCCAGATGCTGTTGTCTTTTTGCAACTATATCTAATACTTTTGAAAAGTAGGTGTAAAACTGGTATTGTATGTATTCGGTCACTGTGGCGTAGATACATTGACTTCATTGCTTGGCTAATATTTGGAACATTTAAAGGATGCAAAATAAAATAAACATAAATAAATAAATAAATTTAAAAAAACAGATCTTGAGCTGCAAGATTACTGAATAATTCATCACTTTATGGCAGCACACTGCTGCGTCTTGATGCTCTGCAGGAGCGCGTCTATTTTCCCCGGAAAAGGTGATGCAGATTATATTTATCAGCATGTTACACAAAAGATCTTGGCTGGTGGTGTGGCACATGCCAGATCACATATTGAGTAAAATGGGTGGGTGTCAAAACGCCCACATCCCCCATCGGACGCCCATATAGGCTTTTTAAAAAAATAAATAAAACCAAGCTAGCAGGAATGGAGCCAAAGGAGGCCTCTGCGTGCAACAGCTCGTCAGTTTTGTTCTATTTTGAAGCGAGGATTTACCCTTGGCTGAAGTTCAGTGATCTGTTCTGACTCAGTGGACATCACTGCAGCCCGTCTTGTGTTACTAGAAAGAAAAAGGATAATAATGTCTGTCCCATACCAACAGTGTTGGTCCCAACATCACCTTAAATTCCCCGGCTGGTTTTCTGTACAAACTTCATTAATGAATATTGCATTACCTTGAGGCTGGTTATCAGGGGAGACATTGACATGTAGTCTGCAGCTTCCTGTCTGCACTAAACTGAAAAACTGTTTCAGTGGGGTTTTTTTTAAGTTAGACAGACAGCATTTGATCATCTCTAAGTTTAAATCTAAAATAGTTAGAAGGATTCTGATGAGCAATTCTTAGGCTACTGACCCAAAACTCTCTCTTTTTGTGCCTCTTTTCCCCCAGAAAATCGAATTTGTGGTGCAAATTTGGATGCGTATCCGACCGTTTTTGATTTTACTCTAAACAGTCATGTCGCACTTCAACCGACTTTTGCGTCGCTGACCTGAATCGTGCATCATATTCCTTCACCAGAGCAACCCGGGCACTGTAAATGAAAAAGGTGAAAACAATGGCTGAAATTTAAGAAATTCATGAAATTACAAAAGAAGTCTGTCAGTGAAGCGCATCACTATCACACCACTAGTGGTCTGACTGCACAACCAGACAGAAGTTGCAGTAAATGCAACAAAAGGACATCGTTATTTGCTCTCTTCTTCTTTGCTCGCTTCGCGATGTTACGATCTCGTGATAATACTGTCGGCTCGGTATCTTCACCATCAATCCAAAGACAATGGATTGATTTGTCTGTGGATCCCTTTGTAGTATATTATTCTTGTAGAGGCCTCTGTGTTAACCGTTCACACATAAGCCGTCACGTTTGTTTAGTTCTATGAATGGTTACACACACAAAAAATGGGATTTTAGCCAAAAATAATAAAATAAAATAATGGAACTGAGCATTGCAGATTGTAGCCTAAGTTATTGTTCACACCTTGTTTTGCTTCTTGAGCAGAACGTATTGCCGTATACCCTGTCAAAATTTTATTTGGCATTGCGATGGTGGCTAAAAATGGCCGGTGGCAGCAAAAACCTGAGCTGGCTACAGGTCTAATTTATTTCACTTTACCTTACATTAGTCTTGTCTATCTTACCAGCAGAGCTTTTTAGCACTTAGTCAGAATAAAGCTGTTGACGCAAAACAAGGCAGAGCAAATAGAAATGAAATCCAGTTCTCAGCAGCTGCTATGAAAGTTTTTTTTAAAACTCTGGTTATCTTAAGATTTAAAAACATCTCCTTCATATCTCCCGTCTCTCTAGGAATTAGTTTGAATCTTGCATGAGAGCTGCTTTATGAACCGTTCTGTAGAGTTTTATTATGACATAAATGCTGATTAAAAAAAAAAAAAAGAAAGTATTTTTTTTTCTGTGCTAGGCGAGAAAATAGATTGGGGTTTTAATCCAAATCAACTGAAACGTCAATCAAGCAATATTTCAATATCGCCGCATTTTGTGCAGACGTTACTGCAGATGGCTGGGGCTTCACTGCGAAGGCCTTGGGCAAGGGGATAATCAGCTTGTTGCACAGGACCTGGGGATCTGCTGGCAGTTAATTGAACATTTTCATCACGGATAACTAGATTAGGTAGAAGGAATGCTGCTGAGTTAGTAGACTTATCTTGTAGCGGCCAAAGGATCGAGAGAACTGCGCCGACAATAATGTAATTTACTCACTAAATTTGTGGGAGATTTGATTATTTATGTCTGAACTCAAACACTGTGGTTTTCCTTCAAAATTTAAGGCTGTAAAACTGTTTAAATATCAGCGTCAATTTAGAAAATGAAGCTTTTTTTTTTTTCTTCATTTGGAAAACAAGTGCGACCCATTTCCGTCTTCGCGCCGAAAGCTGAGTGAGTGCTCAGGGCCTGTTGCTGCTGGGTTTTGTCCCAGTGAGTACGTTTTGTCTCCGGCTCTCATCTGATTCCCATTAAGCCCGCCGCAGATCATTCATTTTGGAGGCGAGGGGACGCGCGCGTGCGCTCTTTTATGGAAGAATAATCAGTCACATCTCGGTATTCAAATAGCAATCTGAAGGGAGCGCAGGTGAAAACAGCTCGGACAATACTCTGTTTACTCCAGCCGAGAAACCCGACGACTGCAAAACGTCGAAGCGTTCCGAAGCTGCGGAGATAACGACCTCGGGATAAATATTAGGATATAAATGTCAATCTGACTTACCATGGAGAATACAATTAAAGAGTGAGTCATGAAAATCACATAGTACTTGTAGTGAAGAAATGCAACAAAAAAAAAACAAACAACAAAACAATCATCATCATTATCGACTGCCTCGTGGAATGGTCTGTGGCACTTCTTGGCAAGTCTTCTGTGCAACATTAGGGTCCATACGGCGTGACTCGATGACTAATAAGAGACATGTTAAAGTGCCAGGCGGTGGCCGCAACGAAAAAACACTTTGTACAAAACCTCAGCGGTGTGAACCATTAGCCTGAGCAAATCTGGCACTCAGACTCTGAACAACATGAAGGCTTCAGCTGAGAAATTAGTCTGGACCAATTAACGGTTTTACAGTAGAAACGAACAGAAGACCAGAGGGGGGCAAAAAGGTTAGAAAATTACTTACGTGGCACATAACAGAACATGGTATTTGCTAACCTTTGGAGATGGTTCTTATACAAACCCCAAAACAGATATATATATTTGTTTTATGTGGCCTGTAAATGGTTTATTGGGAAACATTCAGATAAATCTAGATGAAAGACGTTGCAGGGAGGGTTCTGATGCTCTCTTGATGGTTCTTCTAACGAGTTTATTTCAGCCGAGTCTCAGCGTTACCTTTTACTCTCTACGCTGTAGAAAGTACTCCCGGGTTATTGCTTTTCTTTTGTTTCTTCATTTCACCTGCTTTGTTATTGCTGATGCAATTGCTGTTGTTGACTGAACTGTGTCACTTCAGATTTTTTATTTTTTTTTCACCTTCGTTTCACAGAAGGTTAAGCAGTGTCACGTTTAAACACGGGCAGAAATGGAGACGCTGCTGCCATCATCTCTGTGGGTTCTCCTTGCCTCGAACTGGAAGTATATATATTTTTTTATTTCTCAGCTTTTCTCTCAGCTGTTCCCCCTGAGTCTGACTCTGCTTGAGGTTTCGTCTTGTTAGAGGTTGTTGTTCCTCTGCAGTGATGCTGCATGCTCGCTCAGGTTAAGAGATTCCTGCAGTGCCAGCAACTAAAGGTTGTATTTCTTTATATGTTGGCATTTTATGATCAATTCAATCTGAGTTGTTGGATCAACTTAGTACTGAAGTAGTCTGTAAATAACCGGACCTGAATTTGGCTGAATTTACTGGACCGTACTTGAATTAGCTGGGGTACAGTGTACTTAGTACCTACATGGATCATATATAACTGGTTGTAAATAATGTCTTCTTGTCCAATAACGCACTCCTAAAGAAGTTAAATATACTGCTCAAAAAAATAAAGGGAACATTTCACTTTAATTTTGTGTGTGGCTCCAAATCCAGGCCTCCATTGGTTAATAAATTTGATTTCCATTGATGATTTTTGTGTGATTTTGTTGTCGGGACATTCAACTTTGTACAGAACAAAGTATTCAATGAGAATATTTCATTCATTCAGGTCTAGGATGTGTTATATGAGTGTTCCCTTTATTTTTTTGAGCAGTG